GGAGCAGCCCCTGATCAAAGCTGAGCTGCCTTTCATGGAGCTCAACAACCTCAACGAGCCGGGGAGGGGGAGAAAATACCAGAAAATACCAGAAAATGGGGGGGTGAAAGCAAAGCTATGAAGGGGAAGGGGATGGAGCGCTGCCATCCTGTGAGAGCCCAGGATGGGATGGGGACAGGGCATGGGGACAGCCCCGCACGCGCCCAGGGTGACCTTGGCCCATCGATTTGGGCTTGACCGTGTGGCCACATGGCCCAGCTCAGTGCTGGGGTGGGTTTGATGGGTTTCCTGTTTCCTCAGGGTTACCTAACCCTCCCAGGCCTTGGCGGGGTTTTTCTTCCCTGTGGATTTTGGGTTTGAAGCCCTGGCAAAGGTTCTGTACCCACACTGCACTGCAGCAAGTTGCCCACCTCCCTCAGCTCATCCAGAGCTCCTGCCTGCTGCTCTCCTTGGCACATCCTCACCCAGAGGTAACAAGTCCAGGGGGGAAGAGCAAAATCCAGAGTTGCCCTTCCAGCCTGGAAGTAGCCCTGAGCAGTCATTCATCACCGGAGCCACCCTCTGCTTTTGCAAACTGTGAGAAATGCATGGATTTTATGATTGGCTTTTTGCAAATATCCAAATGAATATTATATGTGTTGTCTTAGAAAGTTGTGATGTATTAATTCTCTTAATTACTGTGTTAAGTTTAGTTTTAGGTTATAAAAAATGTAAAAATAGAAACTATGCTATGTAGGATACTTTTTTTTTAAAGAAAGGACTCACAGCGAGATAGCAGCCACAGGACATCTACATCTTTCAGAGAAAAAGAATTTATTGCTCCCTTATCAGAAGAAATGAACTTCTTCCTGCCTCGAAGGTGCTGTTAGGATTTGAAGGAAGAAGCTGACACTGACCAGACAGAATCCTGTGTTTGAATGGAATTTATGCATCATGTATGAGATGGATGAATATGCAACAGGCTATTGCTTTTAAGGGATAATCCTTTGTTAACTTTTAAGGGTTAATCCTTTTCCTGCTGCCCAGAAAAAGGTACCCGGACGTCCGTAACTCTTTGTCTCTATTGTCTAATATTGTCCTAATTCAAATTGTCCAAATTATTATTACTCTAATTGTATTACTATTTTTATAACCATTTTATTACTATTAAACTTTTAAATTTTTAAAAACAAGTGACTGGCGTTTTTCACACAAACCCTCCCAGAGCATCGCCCAGCATGGCAGAAGCAGAGACCTGCCCCTGTCCCCGAGTCCCCAGCTGCATCCTGCCCTGTACCCAGTGCCCACACTCTCATCTGTGACCCCGTCCAATCTGTCCCAGTGTCCCCACAGAGTCCCTGCAGGCAGCAGGTGCCAGGGACAGGCGGGGTGGTGGCAGAGCTCAGCCTGAGCGTGCTAACCTCTCCTAACAGGCAATCGAATCCCTGCCCCGGCAGGACTCCCTGCATATTAATTGCACTGTGTTATCCAGCCATCTGTTCCCACAGCCAGGAAAAGAGCAGTCCCTTTGGTCTCCTTTATTAACAGGTTTCCCTGTAAATGCAAACAAACCCTCCTGCCTCGGCGCTGCTCTCCAGCTCTGCTTTGAGGCACCCAGGAGGGAAGTGGGAGCTCTGGGGCATTGCAGTAAATCAGGAGCAGGGAATGCAAAGGTGGTGATTTCACAGTGCCCGTGGCCAGGAGGGAGAGCCAGGGGAGGGGCAGAGCTCTGTGCAAAGCCAAATCCACAGCTCAGATGGTTTGTGATGCTCCTGCTCACGTTAAAACCCTTTGCCCTTGCCCTGTGAGGAAAGGGGGAAGATGAGCTGGCTGTGGGGGAGATCTGCCTGTGCCCCCAGCTACACCCAGCCAACCTCGGGGTGTATTTCCACCTCTCCTTTCCCCATTCCTGGGGGATGTGCTGCCTGCTCTGGACTGCCAGCCCCTGTAATGTGAGGCTGAGCACAAGGGTACCCCAGGCTGGTGGTGCACAAGCTGGGGATGCCCAGGGGAGGGAAAGAGCAGCAACAGCTCCCTGTCCTGGCAGCTTCTGTGGGGAAAAATCACTGGAGACTGTGAATTTTGGAGATTGGCTCCTGAGAGAGGGCAAGAGTTACCCAGCGCCTTTCTGAAGCACCTCCAGCCCCTCCAGTCCTGCTCTCCTGCTGGAGCTGGGAAGGCAGCCAGCTTTGGAAGGCAGAGGCTGCACTAAACTGTTGTTCTTTCTTCTGCTTCTCCTAAATATCTCCGAAATGCCATGGATTGTCCTCAGGCTCAGCCACGCCTGCTGCAGCTGTAGCAGCCTTACCCCAAGGAAAGAGGCTGCTGGCAGCACCCAGAGCCTCCATGGTGAGCTGGGGTTTGGGTGGGAGGTCTGTATCCCCACACCAAAGCACCAGCACAGAGTCAGGAAGGGAAAACAGATTTCCCAGGAATAACCAGCCTGCTCCTGTGGTCATCCCACCCCAGCCCCCCAGGACAATGATGATCAGGATGAGTTACACCACTCAGCATTTGGTTTTCTCCTTGTTCCATCCTTTCCTGCATTCAACACGCTGCTGCAGCAGCACAGGAGCAGCAGGTGGGCTCCAGTGACCTGACATATGGCCATCTGGAGAATCTTTATTTATGACTCTCCACACACATCTCCTCTGTATCTTGACATCTGTGCTCTGGTGCAGGGCTGGGCTGCCCAAGGAGGTGGCAGCTCCATGTGCAGAAATGATGCTGCAGGGGAAGAGGTGCTCCGAGACCATAAGGCAAAAGTCTGCTCAGTGAAAAGGATGAAACCTAAGAGATGTGCACAGGGCAGGTTTTTCACCTGCTCCAGACCTGGTCATTCCTCTCCACAGGAGGTTAGCACAAAGGCTGCCAGCCTGGAATGAGTGCTGTGACTCAGCAGGGCAGCCCTGCTGCAGAACTTGGAGGAGAGGGGATGAAGGTCTCATGTCAGAGCCACAGCACCAGGAAACAACTGCCAGCACAGAGGGTTGGCTTATCTGGGTACACACAGCTGATTCCCACCCCTCCCAGGGAGGATTATGTCCCAGATCTCTTCCTCCTCCAGGGAATCTGCTCAGAGAGAAGGGTGGGATGACCCACACCTCTACAAACCGTCCTCAGAGGGATTGTTACCCACCACAGCACTGCTCAGCCACAGGGACAGCACAGGGAGCACTGACCCATTTCTCACCTTTAGCCAGCATCCTTCTAGCTTCTGACTTCATTGCAGAAAGCCACAAAAGGGTGTCTCCTTTTGTCCTCTCCTTTCCTTGTAAAGGAGCAGATTTCCAGCACAGGCAATAGCTGCAACTCCAAAAATGCAGCATGGGATTGGGGAGAAGAAGAAACAACCCCAAAATCCAAACGGTGCAGGGACTTTGTTAACATTCAGGAGATTTGAAGGAGACCTTGGAGAACCTAAAAGTCAGCAGGTGCTGAGACATAATCCTCTTCCACCTCAGCTCCACTTGCCCATGCTGTCCTTGAGTCCCTCCTGGTACAGGCAAAGCTTTCTGCTTGTCCATGCAATTCCCCCAGACTCTGCTGGGTTTGGACTGCTGACACAAGAAAAGATTGAATAACCTAAGCCACACGATGAACCTCAAGCTCTGAAAAGTCTCCAATGCTCAGAAATCTGCTGTATTAAAAATAGCAGGACTGGAACAAAGGCGTGTTCCTGTCCTGCAGCCTCATGGAGCAGTGCCCCTGGACCACCTGGGCACCCAGACTGGACACACACCTCTGCAGGTGCACACACACTGGGTTTAACACTCTGTGCTGCCTATTTCAGGTTTGAAATTGCTGACAAGTTAGAACAGTCTGCCACATGCTTTGCATTTCTTGTTTGGAACAGCCTCTGCCACATTTACCAGGTCTGGCCTGTCACTCCTCCTCAGTGTCCTCCAGTCCCACATCCTCCCCTGCCCCCCTCCAACACCATCTTTAATTCTATTAATACCACCTAATAATTACTTTGTTCCAAGCCTGCTGAGTAATGACTGCCAACGCTTCGATTTCATTACTATTCCTGTAAAGAAACCAAGCTTTTAACATGCTGGATTTCTGCAGAGGAGTGACAAGGACTGTGCTTGCTGTCCTCCTTGCCCACATCTTCCATGGGGCAGGAGAACAACCAGGCACTTTATTCTCCATGCATCTACAACAGTCACAACTGTGTGATGTGGTTGAAAATGATGAACTAATTAAAATAATAAAAAAATAAAACCCAGTTAAGAGAAAAAAATAAATGTGGGAGGAAGATAAAAGGCAGTGACCAAAGAGTATCTATGACTTTTAGGTATCTTTATAGTAAGCAACTACCCCATGTTCTCTGGTTGAAACCAACAGTTCCTCCAGAGGTGCTGGGCTTTGGCTTTTCCTTCACTCATCAAAATAAAGTTGTTCAACTTAGAATTCAACCTACACGGATGAGAGCAATTCAAAGCAACAGCGTAAGCAGCGCAGAGCACGGAGGAAGAATGAATTAATAACTTCCTTCATTAAAGCTTACCTTCAAAGAAGTCAGCAACAGAACTCGTCATCACCATCTTCTTGCAGACATTTATTTTTATATTCACAAGAGGATGAATGTAAGAGAAATTTATGGAGATGCTAAATCAAGGCTTTTGTTCTTAACTAGAAAGAAGTCGCTCTCAGCAGTTTAATTATTGTCTTAGTGCAGGACTGACGTTTCAAACGCTGTGCTCTTTCACTAACTCCTTTAAAATCAAATTACATAAGAGATTAAGGTAACATGAGGTAATAGAAGTAATGCCACCTCCTGAAAAAACATCTTTTACATAATTTCATTCAGTTATCCCTATACCCATCCTGATCTGGTCACACCTGGTTCCCAGTGGCTGTGCTGAACAAGGAGCCCAAACCCAGGCAGCAGCAGAGCTGGGAATAATCAGTTCATCCCCTTTCCAAGGCTATTTCATCCCTGCTGAAACCAATCCCCTCTCAGAGACCTACAGCCTCCACCTTGCAAAGGACAAGCACATCAGGACACCTCCACATGGTACACTGAAAAAATGAGGCTGTTTTATTGATGATTAGACTGCACTGGCAACAAGCATCAAGCTAATACAGACAGACTTCAACCAAAGCATGAGCTTTGAATCAGAAGTCGATAAGTGACATGATGCCTTAATAAATTAAGGAAGTTAATTCCTCCCCGTTGTCAAGTCTTCACTTGAAGTTCTTTGCAAATTCCTCTCCTTTCTTAATAGAGCCCTTCAGCTCAGACATGGCTGCAGCAACCATCTTCTCTTCAAAGGGGGAGAGCTTGCCAAGGCCTAGGTTCTTCTCAATTCCTTTTTTCTGAGGGAAAGAGGATTTAAGGATTAACCATTCATTGAAGGACCTAAAGAGTAGCTTAACAGTTCTGACTAAGTATTATCCAGCTGAGACAGAGACCCAGCCTGGCACCTGTGTCATCTCTAGTCTGCCAACCTTGTGCTTCCTGGAAAGAAGCCTCTTACTATCTGTGGCAACTTCTAGAGCCCTCACAAACTTCTCATTCACATGTGTGAACCAGAAGCCAACCCAGCAGCTCCTTCAAGAGGAGACTGACACCAACTGACCCTTCCTAACTCCACACCCTCCATCTGGCAAGAGGATCTCCTCTGGTGTGTGTCCTTTTCTTGCCATCTCAAACTGCCCCAGAGTGGCACTCCCAGGTTTTCAAGATGTCTACATTCCCTCTTAATATCCCTCTGCTTCCATCCCCCCACCACCAAACATGCCCTTTGCATCCCAGCAGCCATGACAGGGCTGCAGCATCACTGTTTTCCACTCCCCCAGGGTATGGGTGACAAAAGGAACACTACTTTCAGAGTTCAGCAGAGGTCCTGAAAGCAAGCTGTTAATCCTAATCCATGCTGCAGCTCCCCATGTGCCTCAGTTTGTGAGGATTTGCTTGTAGCAGATCAAGCTGAGGAGACAGGATTGCTGACTCTGGTTAATCACATGAAAGCCCAGAGTAAACAGGCCTGACTTGAGACAAATGTGACCTCTTAAGCCAAGTCTGAACCTCTGGTTACTCAGTGACCTGCACTCTAAGAGCAGATAAAAGCAGCAGCATCCTTGTCAAGCTGAGCTGTGTGCCCAAGTACCACACCCAAACACTGCAGACTCTTAAAGGCACACTCAGCAATAGCAGGCATGAGCTAAACTGAAACCCCTGAGTAAAACCCACTTTTTACTGCTGCTCATAAGGCTTGTGATGTGATGTGAAGTACATACCCCAAGCTGCAGAGGTGTAGAGAAGTAGGGCACCTCTGTCACATCCGACCGAACAAAGGCACATTCAACAACCCCCTGCTTTCCACTCATGGCCTCCAACAGGGAGAATGCAAATCGAGCACCAGCATAGGCCATGGACAAGGTGGCAGATCCTGCAAGAGTTACACCACTTTCAGAACAGAGCACATTGAAATCTGATACTTCCTTTAGCATCAAAGGTTTCCATACTAGTGTGCTGTCAGTAATAATGTGTCACTGACATCAAGTTCATGGCCAGTCAGATAAAGAAGAAGCTTTTGGCCAGCTACATGTATCTAACTGATAAGATTTATAAAAGAAACAGCTTAATTTGACAGAGAAAATTCTTTTAAAGCCATAGGTGGTGTGGGATCAGTTAATATTTAGTGTTACATACAGAGCTGTAGCACAGCCCAGGCAGCAGCTGACAGAGCAGAGCAGTGAGAATGACAACCAGCAGTTCCTAACCTGTAAATAAGAATAAACTGCAGAGGACTGCAGCCCTACAGACAGTCAACAAGAATTACCTGGGAGCTTTACTCAAGAACCCACCTGCTCCTGCTTTAGCTTGGACAACTTCAGTCCCAGCTTCTTGAATTCTTGCTGTAAGCTTCTCCAGCTGATCCTGAGGAAACTCCACTTTTGGTGTGCACTGGGTGGGAAAAAAAAGAAGTTACTACAAATACCAGAACCCCTCCAGATTCAGCATAAACACACAATATTTTTGTACCAATGCTGTTGTTATCAATAATTCTCAACTGGGCAAAATGGGTTTCCCCAGCTTGTGTGACACTGAGCAACTGTAAAAGTCAGAGCTGGGGTTACTGCATGGCTGGAACAGGAACCCAGAAATGCCCAGCTTCCTCAGGGACAAACCACAGCTTCACAGCCATACCAGGGCCTGCCATGGCTCCTCACACTGTGTAGTTCTGTGCACTACAAACACCCTCCAAGCTTGAGGAATTTCAGAAAGTCATCTTGCAAATATCTGGGTCACCGTGGCCTTATGGAAGTCGAGCCTTATGGAAGATCCAGTTTCCCAGCAGTATTTGGGAATTCACTGAACCTTCAGTTACAGCTTAAGCACAGTTGTGTCTGTCCCAATGGAGTGCTTAACTAAAGCACCTCTCAGCATTCAGCCCTTGCTCTTATTCCCAAGAAAATCCTTCTCTAAAGGATACTTTATTCCCCACTTAGAGCACAGCTTTCCTCCCTTTGTTACAGACTGCCCCTTGGCCACATCCCAGAATTTCCCCATGAGACTGCACCTGCTTCAGAACTGCATTTCAGCCTAGCTGAAGGGCCATTCTAGCAGTCATGGCTGGAACAGGCTCCCTGCACAGCCTGAGCTGTGCTTTCAATATTTGAGCTTTGAGTGGGGTTTCCACTCCATCACAGCAAAATCAACCCAATTTTTCTCCTGTCATGAGATACCTGTCACAAACAGTGCCAGGACACCCAAACACCCACACTACCCCTCAGTTCTTATCCCAAACTCCTTTAGAGGAAAGCTGGAACTGTTTATACTGCCTAGATGGGTTCAGATTTAGGCTGTTGCCTTCCACCTCATCCAGCACCCTATCCCAGAAGGAAAGCAGCCAGGAGAGCAGGAAAACTCTCTGTGCTCTATCCCATCATTTTTCCTGCCATCACAAAGGCACTTTGTATCAACCCTAACATGCTGCTGAGTGTGCTGCCACACACAGCTGTCACCCTGACTCACCTGAGAGATCAGAGGGATGATGGTCTTCCCAGCATGGCCACCAATAACTGGCACAGCTACTCGAGCTGGATCCAAGCCCTAAAGGAAACACAAAACTTTCCAGCTTCTGAAGCACACAGGCAAGAAAAACAAGTGACTTCACTCCCTGCCCTGGATATCAGCACACACAGGGCAGGAGTTCCAGAGGCAGCTACACTCTAGGGACAAAGCCACATCCACAGAGCAGAACTCTGGGTGGCTCTGATCACTTCATACAGTTACAGGATATTATTACAGCAGGGCTGGGTAAAGAGCAGCACAACATAAACACCAGCAGGGCTATTAAGAGCAGTAAGCTGTCACAGCTCCTGATACTTTGCAGAGTATCCTGTGACACACAGCACAGTTTGACTTGCAAACACACACCACAGCTCAAGCCTCTCCTCTGGTTGCATGGCAGGGTTGGGAATGCCAAGGGAATTAAGGCCAACACAGAGCTCACTTGCAGGGCTCAGCTATGAAAAGGAAAGGTCAAAGTCTCTTGAACCACATTTTGCAAGAAACCTTATCTTGAGGCTCCTCTAAATAAGGGAGACAGGGAATCATTGCCTTTGCCTCAAGCTGCACAGAAATCTGAGCTCCTTTGGCTCTCTGCAGTGATTTTGGAAGCACTTGATAGATCTGATGATCAAAGCAGGCAGTATCCCTCCCCCTGCACATTAACCATGACCTGCCTTGAGTTCAGCCACAAAAGTATTCGCTCTGACGATGTCCAGCGTTGTAACACCAAAGATTTTGTTGGGGTTGTACACACCGTGCTTCTTGAAGACCTCTGAAGTTATTGGGATGGTTGAATTTACCTACAAGCAAGAAGAAGCAAGCACTGATTAAAAGCAGTTTAATAAAGAAGCCAATGCATGAACTTAACAGGCCAATTAACAACCTGAACTATACTTCCAGTTTGGAATAAACTGTAGGCAATTACTTTAATGCCTAAATTGAAGAGCAATTTACAGTCAGGCTGGAATAAAAATCATTAATTTTAAATAACCATTAAGACAATAAATTTGTTCATTCCCATTACAAAGGCTCCTCCCTTAGTGAGCTAAGGCTTTTATCCCAGCTAATACACCAGCTTGCATTATAACCAGTCACACAGACTTGGAGATATTAAGCACTTTTACATCCAAGTTTTCTCTGAATTAAATACAGCCAAGAAAAATGGGTTAGTAGAACCAGGCTTTTCTGCAAATACACTGCAGACTTTAAACATACTGGCCAAAATTAGTAGGAATTTGGATTACTCTAATATTTGGTATACTCTAGTATCTGGAATTTGGTGAGGTTTTTCCTCTACATTCCAAGGTCTCCAGAAAACACTTACTGGGTTAGAAATGATACAGATCATGGCTTCTGGACAGTGCTTTGCACAGGCAGTTGTCAAAGAGGCAACAATGCTGGCATTGGTGTTGAACAGGTCGTCACGGGTCATACCTAAAACACAGCCAGGGCAGGATTCCAGGTTACCCACAGTGACCATCACAGGCAGGAAATGCAATCAAAATCCAAAATCAAAACTCTGCTCTGCACAGACACACATCTGGTTTCACAGATCAAGAACAAATTCTGCAGCTGCAGTAATGAAATGGCTTCACAGGTGACTCCTCTCACTAATAGAGAGATCAGCCCCTCCCAGGAGGAACCAGCCCAACAGAACCCACTCCACTGAGGCTGCCTGAGTGCACTGTGAGCACACAACCCACACCAGAGGTGCTCAGAGCAGCACAACTGCTCCCAAGATGAACTCTCCTTCCTCTTTTAAGTCACTTCCACCACTACAGTTTAAATGACAACTGCTGTGTGCAAATAATGCTGGTTGTGTAAGTGCCACCCCCCACTGCTACTGCAGCAACTAAACTACTTTAACCATGAAAAATGAAGATTTAGGAAGAGCTAGGCAATAAAGTCTAGATTTTTGTTATGTTCCTAATAGGATACTGGAAAATAGAAATGGAGGAGATCAGAAACATTCTAGGAAGGTTTAACAGAATTTATTCAGAGATGGCTCAAGAAGTTGCTGTGCAATTGACACAAAACAAAATTGATTATTTCTCTTCTGCTGAGAAATGAAACAAAGATTCAGCTTTTATTCCTTGAGCTTTGCTCTGGGACAAGAAACACTAAGGGAGATTTAGGATCACTTTCATGAGAAGCCTTTGCAGCTCAGGCCCCAGCAGGAACTCCAGGAATCAGTTTAGCCCATTTCAGGAGGGAGAGTATCAGAGAGGCTGAAGGAGCTGCCTGATACAAGGAGCTCAGGGGCAGGAGCATGGACAGACCCCTGACACCCCAACAGACACAGCTCTGAGCAGCAGAACTGCAGAGATCCACAACAAACAGAACCTACCTGGTTTTCTTGGGACTCCTGCTGGAATAACAACAACATCACAGCCCTTCAGACATTCTGGCAACTGCTCAGGTCCCATGTAGCCTGAAATGGAAGACATTCAGGCATTATGTTTCTGACAGTTGTTAAATAGTTGACACTTTGAAGTATAAAATCATGCCCAGAGGCATCCAAGTATTTTTTTAAAATTTAACCTTCAATTTAAACTTGATGCTGAAAAGCAAAGAAACACAACTAAGGATGGATCCCATTTGATGTTTTATTTTTATCCTTGTTTCAAAACTTGCAGAATGAGAATGGTGAGAATCTCACATTCACCTGTCTCCAAACTCTCAGTGTGGAGTGTACTTACTCTCCAAAAGCCTTGGCACTAGAGTCACTGCCCCCAAAGAACTGCAGACTGGCACATTCATGTAAAATGTCACCTTTTGGTGATCAGATAAAAGAAAGATGAGCAGATTAAGTTTTGATTTCATCAGAATCTAAGAGAAAAGAAGCACATGGAATCCACCCAGGGAGTGTTAAACCTATTTCCAGTCAAACTTTTAAATTCAACACTCTGAGATCATTTCACTGAATGTTTCCTGCCAGATGTCACAAATTTCCCTTCAACCACAACCCATATTTATCTCCATACACATCAACCTAATCAGCTAAACCTTAATTAATCATTCACTGCTTGAGGAAAAAGCTACTTAAATTGATCCTGGGCTTCAGGATCAGTGGGTGAGGACCTCCCCTCCCAAGCAATGGGCACTGAGGGTGGGAGCCACCCCTGTGGGAGGATCCCTTTGCAAGTGAGGCCTCTCCCAGGGTACCTTTGACGCTGGCTTTGGTCTCGATGTGGCTCAGGTCGGCGGCCACGCCCGGCGTGTGAGCGATGTCGTAGAGGCTCAGCTTGCTCACCAGGGGGCTGTTCTTGAGCAGCAGCGACAGCGGCTGCCCGATGCCCCCCGAGGCCCCCAGCACGGCCACCTTGGCATGGTTCTGTGCAAAACACACAGCAAACGCGTTGGAGAGCTGCTCTGGCACTCACCCACCTCCCCCAGCAGTGACCTTGGGGATTTCACCACTCTTTCTTTACTTTTAGTTCTGCTTCTCATTTTTTTTATCAAGCACTGTGCAAACTTGATGGTTTAAGCCTGCAGGAAATGACTCTCAGAGAAGCCTGCCTGAGGTTTATTGGTAGTACAGGTTGGAGGAAATGGTTACCTGTGACCTGAGCTCAAAGGGGAAGCAAGGCTAAGTTAAAGGAACCCAAAAAGCTCAAAAGGGAAGCAAGGCTAGGTCAAAGGAACCCAAAAAGGGTTAAAGGAGATGGTTACCTGTGGTCTGAGCTCAAAGGGGAAGCAAGGCTAGGTTAAAGGAACCCAAAAAGCTCAAAAGGGAAGCAAGGCTAGGTCAAAGGAACCCAAAAAGGGTTAAAGGAGATGGTTACCTGTGATCTGAGCTCAAAGGGGAAGCAAGGCTAGGTCAAAGGAATCAAAAAAAGGTTAAAGGAGATGGTTACCTGTGGTCTGAGCTCAAAAGGGGAAGCAAAGCTATGTTAAAGGAACCCAAGGGATCTCCCCCCAAAAGAAATGCATGCCTGACACTAACACCTGCCACTCTGTGGGACCAGGCCTGATTTAGGGCAAATCTGCTTTGTAGTTTTTCTAGTTTATGTTGCCAGCATAAAAAAAAATATGCTTTCCATTTGGCAAATCAATACATTTAATGGAGTAAAAGAAATGCAGTAGTATCTTGGATTTATATCAGGTCTAAACATGTTCTTTACATATATGCACTGCACATATGTGAAGAACATGTTTAGACCTAATATAAATCCAAAATAGCACCTGCAGCTCGAGGACTGGGAATATTAAGTGACTACAATTCCCAGCTTTGATCACATGGCTGAGAACCAAGTAAAATCAACTCTGCTTGGTTGCCCTGTGGACCAATTTTATCCTCACTCAGGTGTAATTTCTCTCAAAAATTTGCCTGTTTGCAAAGTGTTGCTCCACAAAAGGAAAGCTTCTTCCAGGGGCCAGAACCCTAAAGTGCAACACTGCCAAAGTGATGGAAAACTCCTGTGAAGATGTAACAAGCAATTACTGCTGATAAAGCTATTCTTTATCACAATCTTTCCAGATAAAAGCCATAATATTTCCAAGTCCCTTCATGAACAGCTTAATTACTGTGCTATGCAGGAAATAATCTACCCCAGATTAACATCAACCCAGTTTTCTTGCTATTGTAACAAAGATAATTTTGCATTAAACTCTTGAAGAGGAAGCAAAGTCTGGCATGAGTCACTGCTGAGCCCCATTTGTGACCGAGCTGATACTGTGGGGTCAAAATCTCACTGCTAATCAATACAGTTTCCACGAAAAGACTTAGACAAGGCTCTCCTATATAACACATATTTATAGGTGCAATAATCAGTGTTTTACATCCCCCCAGGCCTATTGACACTGGACAGAGGTCAGTTTCTATCCGTGCAGCCACAGCAGAGCGGTCTGGAGCCAGCACAGTGGATTTTGGCACATGAAGGATTACTGCTAAACCAACCACCAGCTTTAGCTCATAACACCTCCTTAACACAGGGGCATTTTTGCACTGGAGGAATGAAGCAGCAAACCCATCACTTTCTGCACACCATCAGAGTGAGTTCATACAGCACTGTCACACTCACAGCCTGGCAGGGCCACGGCGCTGTCACCGGGCACAGCCAACACCGAGACCCCCGAGCCCTCTGCCCCGTGTGCCTGAGGCACCGGCACAGCTCCCAGCCCCTCTCCGAGAAGTTCTGGGCTACACCCGAGCCCTGCAGCCCCTCCCTACGGAGCTACCGGGCTCCACAATCCCCTCATTGAGGCCCTGGGCTCCTTCCCGGCCCGCAGCCCCGCTCCGAGGAGGGCACCCCGACCCCGAGGAGGGGTCTGGGCTCCACTTGAGCCTCGCAGCCCC